CGACTACAACGCATGCATCAGTTTGGCCTGGCAAGCCAATACGGATGTTCAATACATCATGGCCGGTGCAAGCGACGTCATCAACTACATCACGGTCTACGCAACGAAATCCGAGAAGTCAAAAGGAGTCAGCTTGCTCGAGATGTCTACCGACGACTTGAACAATGAGAAAATGTTCAAGACAATGTTGGATCTGTTGCGGCAAAAGGTGCAAATTGAGAAAAAAAAATTGATATTTTATTACAAAGAGAATTTTAAGGAGACTGGCATGCTCGAAATGATCGATGTTTTGATGTCGCACGAGCTTTTTGGATTCGACACTGGCCATGTCTTCCTCAATACCAATGAAGACGAGAAGAGGAATCGGCAGCTGCGACCGGCCGAAGTCATCCAGAGAGAGGGCCCTGGATCCTGCTTCGTCGAAAACGTCGTGGATACCTATATCCTTGTCGTCCAAAAGAGCTTGAGGCTAGATGATTTTTTGGCTTTAAATTAACTTATTTAATTTATTTAAAACCAATTTTTTTTTCAGGAATTTCGCTCTTCAACATCGTCATGAACTTCAAATTGTTGGAAAGATGAAGCTGAAAAGAGAGGGCGCGCTTTTACGAGCCGGAGATTCGAAGATCTCATGCGGAATCCGTTGTTCCCACTGACAAGCAAAGCGTCTTTTATTGGCACAGTCCGTTGGTGACGTCCATTCACCGTGGTTTTGCTTTCCGGCACTTGAAACTGGAACATGCCTTTCGAGTACCGTTCCGAAAAAGCAAAATTACGAAGTATTTCCGCAAAGAAAAACGCAGGTTTGAATAATTAAAAATAAAATAGTTTTAATTGGATTTTATTTTAGGTTTGCGGACTTTTCTTCGGATATTGAAGAGACTCAAGTCAGCGAAGACTACTTGAAGACTCTGCATGATGTTCATCCATGGCGTGGGAGATGCCAGCGCCATCACGCCTGAAGAAGCATGGACGCATGGGAAGGTACTAACTCTCTTTAAAAAAATCAAAAATTCACTTCACTATGACAACAATTTATTCATTTTTAGCCACATCGAAAAGTCCAGTCTTCAAGTGAACAAGCTGTCGACGACATCCACGACTTTCTTGATGCTGTTCAAAAATGAGACCGAAAAGAACCAGAAAAGAAAAATGGAAGCTTGGAGTGAGTTATTTTTATTTAATTTTAAAATTATTTCAAAAACTCGCTTTGCAGACGGCCATGAAAGAAAACGCCGCAAGGACGAAGACGAAGACGAAGCTGAAAAAGCAAGCCAGTTCTCGAGTTCCGGGCGGTGGTCAACATCGCAGCTTTCAAAAATTTGGCGTCGATGAACAAGCGCAGCAGAAGTTTTTACGAGCGTCATCGACGAATCAACGAGCAGACGGCGAGCCCAATTGAGGTTCTTTAACTTAAATTCAATTTCATTTCAAAACGGTGAACAAAAAGAAATAGATTGAAAATGCTGTAAAAATCAACGTTTCAAAATAGTCAATCGGTCACTAAAATATCAAAACATTTTTTATTTTCAGGGAAACGAAGAAGCCAATTTTGAAGTTCGTTTCTGGAACAGCTACAGGCAAATCTTTCCTCATCAATATGTTGGCTGATCAGCTGACAATGAAGTACACCAAGCCGAAGACTGCTGCAACAAGCCCGGCTGTACTTTTGGCAGCTCCGACCGGTTTGGCTGCTTTGAACATTCGAGGAAGCACTATCCACAGCCTCTTCAGCATTGAAGTGATTTTTTTTCCAATCAATTTTTTTTTCTTTTAAAGTTTTCAAAAAAATTAAAGTTTTGCAGGTTCAACACGGCCGAATGCTCGACTTCAAAGGAACAGACTTCGAAGATGCAGGAAGCTCGCGGGAACTGCTCAGGAACGTCAAGCTCGTGATTATGGACGAGGTTTCGATGTGCTCCAACATCATTCTGGCGAAGCTTCACCTGCGGCTGCAGCAAATCAAAGGAAACCGCGAGTTGTTTGGAGGCGTCAACATCATTGCTTTTGGCGACCTGCTCCAATTGCCACCGGTTCTTGCCAAACCAGTATTTGAAGCTTTGAAGCCAGAAGTTGTCGGCGAAGTTTTTGGCAGCATAGCTTCACCAATCAACTTGTGGAGAATGTTCGAGTATCAAGAACTCACCATGAACATGCGCCAAAAAGAAGACACGAAATTCGGTGAAGTGATGGGACGACTGCGAATCGACATGTTGGACGCAGAAGACGTGGATTTCCTGAAGACTCGATTAATCAAAAAAATCAAGAAGAACGTTGATGATGATGACGAGTCAAGCACGATCGAAGAAGCTGCCGAGTACTACTTGCGAATTCTGGATGAAGACCCAACGACAATCGCACTTTTCTCGACCAACGACGAGGTGTCGCACTTCAACGACACGATTTTGAGCCAGCTTGGAATGAAAACCTTCACAGTTCTGGCCGAAGACGTCAACGAAGCCTCGGCAATGGACGACATTCTGGACGGAGAAACGGCAAAGGATCGAGTGAGGAAAAGCCGAATTTATCAAAGAAACGAGTTCTCGATTGTGAAAAAGGTAACGCGATTCAAAAACAATTTCCTACAATTTCCACTTTTCAGAAAAAGAAGTCGTCCAAACTGAAGCCAATCCTCAAAGAAGAAGACCCCACCGGCAGGCTTTGTGGAGGATTGGCAGCAAAACTGACACTGGCAGAAAACGCGCGTGTCATGCTGAGACAGAAATTTGGACGTTGGAAAAGTTGAATTTTTTTTAATTTGATTGAATATACTTATCTCACCTCGAAAACGCCATTTCAAATTTTTAAAATGAGTAAAAACTCAAAAATCGAAATTAGAAGCTTTGAGAGGCTATTTTTAAACACTTATTTTTTTCTTTTCAGGACTTGTCAACGGAGCTCAAGGGTATCTGAGAACCGTCAAGAGACGTTCTGGCGAAGTTGTCAGCCTTGGAGTCGTGTTTGACGGCTTCAAAAAGGAAACAAAAATCGAAAGAGTGAATGCCGTTTTCAACGTCAGTCGCGATGAAAGACGCCGACGTTCGCAATTTCCCTTGACGATAGCTTATGCTGCGACTGTTCACAAAAGTCAAGGTCAATTTGAAAATTTCGAAATTGAAAGTAGAATTTTTTTTTGCAGGAATGACAGTCAATCACGCCGTAATTTCAACAAGATCCATGTTTTCGCCCGGCCAGCTCTTCGTGGCTTTCAGTCGTGTACGTTCGCTTGCCGGACTTCACCTGATCGACTTCTTCCCGCACAAAGTCTCCTGTCACCGCGAATCGGTGCTTGAGACGAACCGTTTGCGAGCCACAATCGGTCTTCCATCGCTGGACGTTCCTCCAGAGCCCGTCAAAAAGAGAGAGAAAAAAGTTGTCAAAAGTTAGTCATGATTTTTTTTTTCTGTCTTTTTTTTCGGATTCGGATTAGTTTCTGTTAATGATAAATATTTTCAGAGAAAGTGACGTTGATTCCTGTGAAC